CCCCAAAACCCCAAAACCCCAAAACCCCAAAACCCCAGGATATGAAACATATATTGAAACTATTTATGACAAGTTTTGTGATAAGTCAGCCTCATCAGGGTTATCCGTACAAACATTTATGTGTCTGTTTGCATCTACATACCTGGAAAGGATATCAATATCCTCACTAGGAAGAATAAAATCGTAAGGTAGGTTCCTAAGAGTGAAGTAGTAGATTCAGTGCCAGAATACGCTAAGCATTGAGTAGTTATGTTCTGAGGCTTCAGACATAGCTCCAAATGAGTTACGCAGGTAAGATAGGCTGAATGGAGATTCCTTAGCCTTTTCTTCTTCTTCATAATCGACATTTTGGTTTAATCTTCGAGCGAGCTTGTTCACTTCCTTCCTTAAAGCATATTCAGTGATGAAAGTAATTTCTTTAGATTCAGTATATTTAGGGTCTTCATTAAAAGGATGTCCAATAGTGATAGAAATAGGTATGTTAATTTTATGCCCTCCAAAGAAGCAAGTAAGGTCTTCTTCTTTCTCTTTGTTAATATTCACAATTGCAAGACCATCCACATTACAAACCTTGCTGACCTTAAAAGTGACAACATCCTGGATATTCCAGTTAAACCTGTCTTCATAACTTCTAAAGTTTCTTTTCCACAGCTTCAGTCTAGAAGGGGCAGATTTCTCATTGAAAGGTTCAATAGCTCTTCTTGCATTATTCTTGAGATACTCTATCTCTTTAGAGTCGAGCCCTTTCTTTAGCTGGTTATAGATAGCTTTCTCATTCTTATCGATATGAAGGTCCTTATCCATTGCTTCTAGGAAGATCTTGTCAGCTGTGCTGGATTGGGCTAGACATTAGGACTCAACTTTACCTATTAAAAACTTTTTCTTGTTGTTCAATAGCTTCATCATTTGTAGAACTCTGATGACCATTTTGATCTCGCCATGCTTATGAATTATTCTAAGAATTTCCTTGAAAATGATGGTCCATTTCTTAGAATCTTTGATTATGTCTCTCAGTTTTAAAAGGATTCCATTAAGCTGGTAGACTCGGAAGAATTTTTCAGGACGAGTAGGAATGAATTCAAAAGTAATGCACCACATAATGACCCAGGTGAGGTATACCTCACCTTCATTAGTACTTATTTCAATGTCGTAGATTCTCTCGACTTCAGTGGGATTCTTTTCTGGCTCTTCAAAATTTTTAAACTCTTCTATGTCCAGAATTTCAGGGTTTTCCTTAATCTTAAATTCAGGTGGGAAATTTCTGAATTCTCTTCAATGTGGTTTGAAGTTGTATGGGTCAGGAATGTATTCACTTCAGAATTCAGGTATGATCTTATAGCAAAATTTTTGGTTGTCTTCGTCAATATCGAGGTAATCTCTGAAGAAAATTCCCTCTTTTTCTGAGATTGTGTCATAGTAAATGTTGAGGCAGAACTCCATAGTCTGACCATAGACAATCCCATTTTTATTGATCTTCTTCTCTTCCTGGATATTTTCGATGATGAATAACTTAGAGTAGTCATTTTTGGGATAAGTTTGATTGACCCAAAGCTCCTTCTTGCTTTGTTGCTTCTGGAAGATGCTCAAGATTTTCTTTAACCCTTTGTTTGACTTTGTAAGAAGGATATACTCATCAAAAAGTTTGATTCGAGCCTTGTCTTCAAGAGTAGGAGATAAGAAATTTCATAGCTTTGCTAAGAAATCAATCCAGTACCTTGTTTCAAGGAAATCCCTGTAGAAGTCATTCTTAATGTACTTCTTGGTTATGGGTTTCTCTTTTATAATTGTCCTAATGTTGTTCTCAACTTCTTCAGGATCAAGGTCTTTCTCTTTCTTTAGGTGGTCTCTATAGTCATTAAAGACATAACAGAAGTAAGTTAGGAATGCTCTTCTGATCTCACTGACGAATATCTGTTTAGATATATTCCTGTCATAATCTGGGTTACCGTCTTTCTCGTAATAAATCGATATTTGCCTCTCGATTTGGTCTCCAAGCTCATTTATGTGTTTAGTGAAGGGAAGATATTTAAGCTTGTAGAAATAATCACGATCTTGGAAAGGAAATTGTATGAAGTCTTTTATGAAATAATCCTCTTCATTGAACTTTACAATTAGTTCATTATTGTCAAGATCTATGATCAGAGAAAGATCGCTTGCTTGTTCAATCACTGATTGAATATCCTTACCGTCTCTGTCAGGGATACCTATTAAGAGGGGGAAAGGACTCTCTCAGTATCAATATAGATCACTAGATAAGCTTAGGATGTAAATGTCTCTATACTCAAATGGGAATATCAAAGTCCGAATGACTTCAGTGGTCTCTACTATCTTTGTTGTATCTTTAGATACCACAAAAATAGACCCCATCTGAGTGAGTAGCCAGTACAGAACATGTTTGAGAGATTCAAATGATAGATATCTCCCTGCAAAGAAATTAAAATAAAAGTCTGTTCACACATAAGGCAATTGATTAAGAGAAGGGTATTCAATATCGACTGTCTTGTTATCACATAATGAATATGTTATATGAGTCCCATATGTTGGAAGAGGTACACAATGTGTCAAATATATCAGATATAAATCTAGCGGGTACTCAGTGCTTCCTGTCAATATATTAGTATACACGCTTTCAAGAATTTCAGCCATGTGGACATATAATGGTCATTCAGACATCAAAATAAGAGCTTTTGGGAGATAAAACTCAAGATTTATCCCTTCCAAATCTGAGATTAATTCATCAACTAGGCTGAATATATTGAATTTCTTTTTGAATTCTTTGCTCTCCTAAACAGGTTATAAAAGGATTACTCTAATGCTGACAGAAGATCCTTCTTCTGACTCGACACTTTTTCTCAAAAACTTAGGATCTAACCTTTTTGTATTAATTTGGGATATATCTGTGAAAATATCACTCCCAAAACTCTCATAATTTCTCTCCTTGATACAGGATTTTAATAATGGAATATAGTACTCTAATTTCTCGTAGAAAATAAGTGCTTGCCCATATCTTCTTTGATCATTAAGGTTTGTCAGGACTAAGGGTACTAACTTATGTCCAGGATTATCTGCTTTAACCTGACACCCCTCCCAGAATACAAAGCTATTAAGAGTAATAGGAAACCTTTCATTACTAGCATCTTCAGATGAGCGTATGCTATCTTTTCTGGGAATCCTGTCGATAAAGGTGGGCGTTCTGGATTTCTCACAGACATCCTCACCAGTCATGATGTCTAAAATAATATGGGCAACCTCAAGCATATTGATTCCAGTGAGATATGCCGTATCGATCATTCTTTTGCAATAGTTGAAGTTATACTGCCAAATTTTCTTCTCCATTTTCAATTTTAATATAAAACATTGGGGTTTTGGGGTTTTGGGGTTTTGGGGG